TGGCTGAGTTGCCCTGGGTGGGTAACTTCTTTCTTTGGTCTGGGTTCCTGCTGTGACTCTCAAGTTGCTCCACAAGACTCATGCTGTCTCTTCAGACCCATCTAGTGCCACCATCACTTCAAGGAGACCCTATGGCATTCATCTTGCTTTGAGTGGCGCATAGGTTTTCCCTTCAGGGTCAGGATGGAAAAGGCCTCAGTGATTTGATTCTTTCCCAGGATGCTGAGAGCTGTTACCTTGTCCACAGTCTGCTGAAGTTCTACCTGAACACTGTTTTCAAAAACTACCATAGCAAAATAGCCAAGGTCAAGATCTTGAAGTCATTCTCCAGTCTGGCCAACAACTTTATTGACATCGTGTCAAAACTGCAGCCTAGTGTGAGTAGGTCACGACTGGAGCCTGAGAAATGATATGCTTGAGAAACTGCCCCTCCCTCAAGGCAGTCCTGGCTTCCACTCCCAATAAAGAGTCATGAGTGTTACGGAAAAGGGTTATAGGTTCAGGTCTCTATCTGCTCTCATCTGATAGGCAACCCTTGCAAGGTGCTCAGCTTCCCTGGGCTTCAGTTTTGTCATCCGTAAGATGGAGTGACACTTCTTCCTGTAGAGATTGCTGCAAGGAAAGGTACAGCCCTTTCATATTCTGGGAATCTGGCTCTGGCTTCCTTGAGAGTGTGGGACTCAGTGCAGTCCTCAAAGGATCTGGGAGCCCCACCCTGGTATCACCAGGAAGAGCAGGAGGGGTGATCCTCCACTCTGATTTAACTTTAGGAACATTTTTTTTTCTGATACACAGAAGGACAAGGACATGCTTTCCATTAGTGAGAGTGCACACCGGCGGTTTATGCTGTTCCGCAGAGCGTTCAAACAGGTAAGGCTAGGAGCTGGGAGCCTGCCTACTTGACAGAAGCAGGTTAGCTTGAACTGTCACAGGGGAGTGCCCCAGAGACACTTGAATGCAGGTGCCCCCTTTGGGCTTGCCCCAGACCCACCTGACCTGGGAGGAAGACAGGTATATTTGCAAAACTCAGCATCTACTTTGCCAAAGTGCTCTTTTTTCCTGTTAGTTTTCCGATGGAAATGCCATCGTATTTTCTTACAAGATGGTTTGCTATTGAGGACTTTCCCTAGGAGAAAGTTTTACAGGCATCTAATATCAGAATTGAGAAAGAAGATGGACAACTCACCTTCCAATACATCTGCATCATTTCTGCAGAGTTCAAATGGTTCATTTGAATAAAAGATATAGAAGATTGTATTAGATTTTTCTAAATTAACACACCAAAGAAAATCCAAATCTCAGCCCTGGTACCTTCACCCTCAAAGAAAAACATCCTTGGTTTTGATCACTTTATGGAGGAGCAGGTACACCAGTCTACTTGCCCAGTGAGTGTACCACATCTTCCCTAGGTCACACCCCAGGCACCCTCTTATGTTCCAGATACCATGTTCTTCTCTGGCCCTTTACCTACTACTCAATATCCACCTTTCCTCACCCTGGAAACAAATACACATAGATGGGGTTCAAGTGATGGGTGGATCCATTTATCAGAGGCCATTCTCCAGGTGACACAGCTAAATTGGAATCAGGTCCCTTTCAGGCAAGCCAGGTTGGAAGGAAACTATTCTCAAAGTCAACATTGCTGACCCCCAACTTTCCATTCGCTGCAGATGGACACAGAAGTGGCTTTAGTGAAAGCCTTTGGGGAAGTGGACATTCTCCTGACCTGGATGCAGAAATTCTACCAGCTCTGACAGTCTATGAGGATAACTTCCTGTTGGCTATCCACAACTTTCAAGCCATTGTTTACACCCATGCTGTTCTCAGGGTACTTCAGAGTCTTGCCCATGGACTGACTGTGTTGTTGGCTCAGGCATCACTTAAGACTTCCTTCTTTGACAGTCCAAGTGATAGTCATGGGAGGCACCTTTAATGCTGTGACTAGCCCACAAGGGGGATTTGCGTATTTATTACAACTTTATTTAATCATTGTCACTGTGCCAGTGGAAACCATATTTATTTGTGAGACTAGAAGCTCCGTGCAAGCAGCAGAACATAGTGCCCCATGCTTCCACCATATTCCTTGTGATCTGGCATGATGGGCCAGCGGATGGTTGCTCAGTAAATATTTAAACCGGATTGCTTTTATTTATTTATTTTTATCTGTTTTGGGTGGTTGGGGAACACTGAGTGATGATGGCCTATGAAACTAAACTTTAGTGCATGGAAACCACATAGGGACAGAGGGTTGGGGTGGAAATGAAGGGCATCCATTTGAGATTTTATTTATTTTTATGTGTATGGGTGTGCACTGCATGCAGTACCCTTGAAGACCAGATGAGGGCATCAGATCCCTGGGTCTAGAGTTAAAGGCAGTTGTAAGCTACCATGTGGGTGCTGAGGATCCAGCCCAGGACTTCTGGAAGAGCTGCCAGGGCCCATACCTCTGAGTTGTTGCTCCAGCAAGGGCCACTGATTTGAAGAAATAATGATGAAAGCTACAACGTGGGCTAAAACAAAGCAGATTCACCCCAGACACTTCACCTTTTCCTTGATTCTCCACCCATCTTACTCCCCGATTTCTCTGAGTACCCCTCTTTTTTTATGATACCATTCTCCCCTTATCTGTTTAGTACAATGTATCCAGCTAACAGTGACATTTTACCTGGATACACTGTCAATCTGAAATGACATTCCTTGCTAAGAAAGGCAACTTGACTCAGGGAGCCATTCCATTCTATTTCTAGAAAAATGTCCAGGGAGCTTACATTGTGTATCTGGGAAAGGCCTTCTTCTCATAGGCAAGAACTGGCATTCTTTGCCTCATGCTGTGGCTGAACTCTGCAGCTGATGTCAATTCCAGAAGTGTCTGGCTCTAACCTCATTCTAAACATCAGATAAGAAGTATGTGCAAAGGTGGGATTTCTCTTCTTCCATGCCAGAAATGCTAGTGCAGACCCCCTGACCTTATGGGATCCCCCAGGGTGCTTTTCTCCCATGCCTGGAATTGACAAGGAAATGGGCGTATTTCTGAAAGCAGGGAGAGGTGATAAGGGTACTTAGATGTAAAAGAAGGTAAGGAAATAACCAAGACTTCTAAAAGGAGATGCTGGAGTCATGTTATCTGCACTAAGTGATGGGGACTTAAAGGATTGTGTTGTGTGTGTGTGTGTGTGTGTGTGTGTGTGTGTGTGTGTGTGTGTGTGTGTCCCTAACACTAACAAAAGCTTAGTTCTAAAAATTTAGAATAAGTCATCATACCAAGTAAGTTACCCTTGCCATGGCACTCAAGAAAAGTAGAAGCTCATTATACCCTTTGGTTCAAGACCTGGAAATGTCAGCCAGCCTTATGTTCCGGTTGGATGCCACATGAGCTAGGGGTAGGGCAGCAAAGACCATTCGACCAAAGACAGTGATAAAGCACCTTGTAGGTCCCATGGTCTGTTAGATTGTACAGAAAGGACAGGTGCCATCATGACAGATGAATGCCCTGCATGTCCAGGACTCTCCCAATGAATGCAGGGGGCTTCAATGGGGTGAAAATTAGCTTGTAAAAAGACTATTCTGAAGGCATTCAGATAGTCAGGCAAGAGTCAAGTTGGGGTATGGGACATGCGAGGTGGCAGGGATCCTATAACAAGTGGAAAGTGGCTGGACATCAGCAGACAGGCAGGACTCATTGGCATGAAGGTCTGTGCCCAGGGGGACAGCTGGGGAGATGACGTGGGCCAGGAATATTGATGTAATCATCTGAACCTGTGTCTTCCACGTTGACAGCAGGCTGGTGGCACAAGGTCACATATTCACAGCTTGTCTTCAGAGGTGGGGTGTGACACCAGGGGGCTTCAAGTACCTGGGAACAGCCAAAGGAGTGTCAGTAGCACTGGCTGGGTGATTTTTAGCATCTGTTTAGGTGGAAATGGAAGAACCTGGACACAGCTGCTGAGCTCCAGACTGCAATGATGCAGAATTGACTGAACCTCATTAAGTGAGCCAGGCCCAGGATTTATCAGGGTGCAGTCTTGTCCCCAAATAACTGGAAACTACTCCATTCTAATGTGGGCAGGATATGCTTTATATGAGGTTCAGACTGCAGTCATAGGGCTGAGTCCGAGTGTGAAGGAGGCCCACCTGCTTTACCCTTGGGGGTAAAGGGATATGACTTGTAGGAAAAACATGTATCTTCTCCAGCAACTATTCAGACATAGGGTGAGTCATTTCTTATGCCTCTGTAAGGACTTGGAGAGGCCATGACATGGCACAAGAATGCATTCCAGAAAAGGGCTGGGGAGCTGAGGAAGGAAGGCTGAAGGCCATGTGGGCACTAGGGTGCCTCTCTTTGCCAGACGGAAGCTTCAGGACTCCCCCTTCATGGCAGCTAGTTCTCAGAAGGCAAGGCTCTGTCATGACTCCAGCCTGGTACATGCACTGTAATAGCCACAGAAGAATGCCTCGGCAGACACTGTGATCAGTCATCCAAAGTTCTAAGAACTAGAAGGGCAGCTCTTTGAATGCAGGAAGTGTCTGTTAAAAAGAACTTCTACATTTTATATTTTACCAAAAAAGAGAAACAGCAGAAGTGTGCTTCGAAAACACATCTCCCACCGAATGGCAACGTACTTGGTTTAGACAATAAAAGTATTCACTATGGGACTGGAGAGATGGCTCAGAGGTTAAGAGCACAGGCTGCTCTCGCAAAGCACCCACATGACAGCTCACAACCGTCTGTAACTCCAATTCTAGGGGATCTGACAGACACCCTCACAGAGGGAGGCAGGGTCCATATGACCACAGGGCAGATCCACAAGGAAAGACTGACTTTTGGGTAGAACAGACAGGCTCTGTTGGGTCATTCATTCCAAGTCCTGGGGACTGTTCTGGGGGCTTAGATGGGTAAGAATACACATTCAAGAGACTGGAGGAGACTACGGGGCTTCTTCCCTTTTTAGCTAGATACATGATCATTTAATCAATATATTGCTAGCCAGGCATTACATTCACAACATTCCTTGAAGGCAGATGTGTCTGCAAGAGAGGCTAATGAGAGGCAGGTGGAAGTGAGATGTGAAAATCCAGGGTCCTGGTCATAGAGAAGCCACTTTCCCCTGTGTGCAGAAATAAGAACTCAGTCTGGTGGCTGAATACTGACCATGGACATGAAGTTTGTTGAGGAGAAAAAATGTCGCTGGATGACATCGTGGATTAAGCCACTTCTTCCTGTCCCTGTGGTTTGAACCTTGACATCAGAGGAAAACTGGCCTCCATGTCCTGAGCTCTACATTTTTTAGGTCTGTTGTATTTAATTAGTTAACACTAATTAACACACACACACACACACACAGACAGACAGACAGACACACACACTAATTAACACACACACACACACACACACACACACACACACACACACACACTTGGTGCCCTTGTTAGTATTTTTCTGGCTACAAAACCCAATGTTTTAGACGTTGAGACTACTTAGAATTTTCCCTTACTTTGGAAGAACAAAAGGACACACCTGTAGTGTTTGAATGTCTGCATTTCTGCCCAGTCACTTTGAATAAAACCTAATGGCCTGGTTACTATTACCTCCTTTCATTTTAAGAGTTGGCTCGAATGTTCTCCCTCACACTGAGGTAAAACTGTAAAACTGTCGGGGTAGCTTCCATTCTCTCTAGCCTTCTAGAAACCCAAGTATCCCTTTTACACCATGGTCACTACAGGGATACACACTTTTATCATTCTCTAGTACACTAAACCCATCAGCATCCATTTATCTCAAGAGAAATAAATGCTTGGCCAGTTAAGTAAGGTAAACAGTTTTTGCGGAGTCAGCCTTCTGAGAGTTTCAATTTACAACCGGTTGAGGGTCTCCCATCTCCACCCCAGGACTAGAAGAGCAAGCTTGCCTGGTTGAGCGAGGGTGGTGGGCTGGGGCGGGCAGAGCTTACCTGAGATGGGTCAGGGGGTGCTGAGGCTGGGGCACTGAGGAGGGAAGCCTCTGCAGAGCCTACAGGGCAGAAGAAAGCGGTGAGGGCCGGGCCTCTCCAGGTTTGGCCACCACCTGTCACCTGCGCCCGGCTGGAGCTGGTCTTCACAGCTTGCGCTCACCCTCTTGGTCCGGTGGCGGAGCACGCCGCGGGCAGGCGCTGTAGACGTTGTTCTGGGAGCGTGGCCTCTGCAGAGCACCCCGGCGCTGTGCGGGGAACCGGCGGGACGCCTCCTGGCCTCGAATCCTCATCGCCACTCGGCCCATGCGCCTGGAGAAGGCTTCAGAAGTCACCGGGAAGAGAGAAGGACATGACATCAGACACCGGTGGCCACCTGCGTCTCCTTTCCCCAAACTGAGGGCTGTACACCTCTCTGATGCCTGGCAATGACGCCCAGGTGCAGAGCGCAGGAGGAAGGGCAAAGCCCTCCTAGGCCCCATCTCCCATCTATGTTCCGAGAGGTTCAAGCTGGATCGGAATGCTCTGGGCTCTTTGGGTATCTTAGCTGTCCCAACCAAAGCCCAGAGCCTCAAGCTGCTCACCTTTCCTCCTAAGAATGGCTCTTTTTACCACCAGTCCCAAGAGAACCAGCAAGAGAAAGCCCAGGAAGGTTGGAATCAGGATGTGAAATTCTAGGACCGGGATGTGAAGCCCTTGGTCTTCTCTCTCGTACTGTGGGCTGTGGTGGAGTGTTCTGGGCCGGAAAAGAAGCGGAGAGAGGGAGAGAGAGAAGGTAAATAAGGAAAGGAAAATTTAAAGACTTACCCATGCGTGGCCACCTCTTTTGGAGATGACTTCAAGTTGACCCTTTATGAACAAAACCCCCTCCACCAGCCCCCCCCCCGCCGAGATTTGTTTAAGGGGTCAGGAGTCTTGGCTTCAAATTTAAGTTCTGCATTTTACTGATTATGTGGTGTTGAGCGAGTCTTAGTTTCCCTGAGCCTTATTTCCCTATAAATGTGAACCATAAAATGTGCCTTGAAACTGTTAGGACTATGAAACAAAGGAGGTACAAAGAACTGAAGGAGCCTGGTCTATAGCAGCTTCTGAATCAGCTCCTGTTCTTGTCGTTAGAGACCTTCCATAGACTGACTGGCATTAACCAGACCTGGACATCGAACATCTTTATCTTTTTAACATCTTAAAAATACTACATGGTGCCAGGTACATAGTTGACATAAAGAAAATATTTATTACATGGACTTCTGAAATAGGAATAAAGAGTCCTGTTTTCATTCAAATCACTTAGATTTCATTGCCCCAGTCCCATCACTTTATAGGATTAAAATGATTCTGTGAGTCCTTTTTCTGCTCAGGCTTTAAAATACTTGTGGGTTTTCATGGGCATTTGCTGTAATTCTGCCCCCTAGTGGCTCATTTAGGTCTGATATTTAGGACAATGTTGAGCAATAGAAACATTTGTCACAAATGGAATTTAAATTCTGTTAGCAGCACTAAAAAGGAAAAGAAAAAGATGAGAGTAATTTTAACACTTATTAATTTGTAGTTAATTTTAATTACCTTAAATTAATTAAAAGTTTGTCTCATTTAGTTATCCATTACGACAGACCTGACTGAATGTGTATGATTGAAAGACTCAAGCTTTTCTATAAGGTCAGAAATGGCTGTTGACAAGTGTATTCTTTGTTGATGAGACTAATGTATTTATATAGCACAGTCAAAAAACAGAGCATTTCAAGAAAGAAAGAAAGAAAGAAAACATATAGCCGGACTATGGTGGTGCACGCCTTTAATCCCAGCACTCGGGAGGCAGAGACAGGTGAGTTCGAGGCCAGCCTGGTCTACAGAGCGAGTGCCAGGATAGGCTCCAAAGCTACACAGAGAAACCCTGTCTCAAAAAACAAACAACAACAACAAAAACAAACAAACAAAAAACAGAGCATTTCTCAGTGGACTCCTGTAGACAAAGCCAAGAAGGGGACAGGCTGACTTCAGGACTTTTAGCACACAGGCCCTAAACAAACTCTTACTTTATCTATTACTACTACCTAAAAGACTCTCTCTCACCTTTGCCCATGAAGTTTGGTATGGTGGCTGTAGCTGGCCCCTAGGGGCCCAAGTGCTTGCTGAGCTGAGGTCTTTGAGGCTGTGGTAGTTGGCAGGAGGGTGGGGGACTTGGCAGCTGTCACTGAAGATGTTCTGGGAACTCTGGGATAGTGGGTGGCTGGAATGGTGCTGGACGGCTGGTGAACTGGGGCCTCAGTCCTTGGAGCTGATGTGGTAACTTCAAGAACGAGAAGGGAAAGGTAACATTAGTGATAAACCCTGTTCTCCAGTCTGCAGGAGGAGTGGTCTCTCTTCCTCACTCAATCATGTCTTCCCTTTTGCTGGTGCATACTACCTTTGTTCTTTCAGTCCTCATGGCCTGAAATGCCTTTATAGCGTGCCATCTACACAGACAATTTTCATGCATGCTTCCTTCAAATATCATTTTCTCCAGCAAGCCTTTCCCGACTCCACAGGCAGAATCATTTAACATGTACAGAAAAGCAGGGGCGGGGTGTGGATGTGGGGGTGTGGGGCTGGGGGTGTGGGGGTGGGGATGTAGGGGT